TGCGGCTTTGTTAGTATACTACCTCCGCGCCTTTTTCATAAATAAAAGATTGTGCATTGTTTTATGGAAATCAAAAGAGCACTGCGTTAAAGGCAAAGCCTGTCACAGTGCGTTAGGGTTTTGCATATAGCAGACAAGGTGCTGAGTAACTCGATAGTGAAGAAAAAAGCAGAAAAAAACATGCCAACTGCCCTAGATAGAACCCCATTTCGATCCCAGTTTGTACGTGCCCAATTAACTCCATCTCCAACACTACGCCCTCCATCTGTACATCTGATCCCCGAACTCTATGACCGTACAAGTAATGATTTTCATGCTTTTTCGTCCTGCAGCTTCGTTTTTCACTGAAAGGCGGGCCTTGAAGGCGGAGTCTGGAGGCGGAGTCACTGGAAAAAAGGAGGCGTCACTGAACCTATATTGCGCTATAGCGCCCCTCCCTTACAATTTTTTGCCGCGAAACCGGTACAAGGTTGTTCGTCGCGGACCACACTACCCTCCCAATGCCAAATTTTCAACCTCTATACCTGGTCGCGGATTGTGCCTTCAAAACCACATTCTTCGTGAGCGCCTTTTGCAAAAGGAACTGAACGGAACAGTCATCGCATTCAATTTTTATTAGACCATAAATACGTAGTGAACGCTTGAGAACCGTTTCACTTCTTATCAACCGTATTAATTAGTGACATCAGTTTGTTGAGATGGGGCGAATTGGCCGGCGCATGCGTTGAGGCTGGCAGTGGCGAAACCGGACTCTCTGAAAAATTATAGGATAAATATTGAAACGATCACCTAGAAAAAGTTTTGTTAGAAATGAAGGTCAAGGAGAAGACTGTAGCTAAGGCGCAAAGTTTCTGGAGTGACTGCTAACGGTGAAAGGGTATAAGGGCACGTCCTGTGTTGGGAGGATTTTTGCCAAGTAAGCCCCGCTTTTGTGCAGAAATACCTAACAATGAGCAATACTTAGTCGCTGTAGGGTCGAGTCGTACCTTGTCTAGGAAATTTTTTTTTCTGACGGTTTGATGAGCCCCCATTTCCACATTATGTATCTCGTCCTAAGCCCCATGCCCTCTCCCACGGTCGGCAGCCACCGCTAAATCGTTGTGTCTCCTTGGTAGTGGTTCGGAGGTGTACGCAGTGTTCTACCTCTCTCTCTTGAATATGCAAATTTTTGAAGTTGTTCGCTAAGATGATCTGGCTTCGGCTTGTGCGCCATAGGGGGGCAGTTGCGTCGTCTCAAGGAAAGCCATGTGTCCGTAATGTTACTTTTTCGGCGTCATCCGTAACTGGCGAGGGGAGGGCAGTGCCTTTAGCCGCTACCCGTACGCTTTTCTGTCAAATCCATGGCATAGGCTTATTAGTGCGAATTACGCTCTCCTGTCGAGCTCCCTCCTTCGGCAGTTCCTGTTTTGTCTTGCGGCGCTGCTGCCTTGAGCCGTGGTCGGGAAGAGAAGAGGGGGAACGTTCGAGTGTCCTCTTACTTTTGTCTGCCTTCCACTCTCATTCTCCTCTTTCCTTCGCTTGTTCCGCCTCCGATCACCTTATCTCCCTAAAAATTATGGGCGATACCCCCCCCCCCCTGAACTACGCAGCCAAAGAAATTTCGGCTGACAAAACCTTCTTGGACACACACTCACAGTGCTCACCTATTAACTGGGGAGTGCTGCCCTCTCCCGGTGCGAACAGACGGGAGCCGAGTTCAGAAACGGATCCTTCATTTTGCAGCTAAGTGCAAGGGAATGTGCTCGTTGTATTGGAAAACACACACATGTGGAACAAAGAGCCATAATGAAGAAAGTTTCCGATGAGCATCCGCCTCAGCTGACCTCCATCTCTGACGATCCGGATATTCTTCAGCCAGTCGGAACTCGTTTTCACATCGTGGACTTCCTTCAGATGTTTGTCGATGTTTGTGGGAATCTGCAAAGAAGAGGTAGATTGCCTTTACTGTTTGAAAGAGCAAGAATCGCACCTCTCCGCATTTGACACAAGCTAATTTCACCCCATCGGATTTCATCTGGAGTTTGAGATTCAGCACTTTTTGACGGTCCATCTGGATCAAAGAGCTGAAACAGATTATACATGAGGCAAATTTCAAAGAAAAAAGGTGAGAAGGTCTTAAAGTCTTCGCGATAGCTTATTTGGATTCAGCATGATACTCTACACGCTTCTTACATAACCGTGTGCGATCACTGAATGCAATTTGGCCATGACAATGACTTGCGTAGGCAGAGCTCAGAAAGAGGAGCGATTCTTCTCCCTCCCCAAGCTCAGCCTTAGCAGAGCACAAACAGTCCCCGAGTGTCCAAGTTAGCGCCTGCGCTAAAAGTTAATTTCATTTTCAATACGCCTAACTGTCCCAGTCCGCAACCGCTAGGGCCCTGCGTTCATACTTCTGCTCGGCAGCGTCCACACAAGTGTTTCGAGGGAAACGCCAGCGCCAGCGACTACGGACAAGTTCCACATCATCGCACCCATGCCGAACGCCAGGCGTCCATCAGCTTACGCGTCTCAAGAGACTTACAAGATACTAAACGTACACCTATTGATTTCGGAATTCCGAGCGGCATTGCTGAAGCTGGAGCTTCCAATCTTACCAATAGAGAGTATGCGAAAGTAGGAGGGTAGCAGACAGCTTGATTAGGCGTCGTATTGCATGTGCAGCCGCATCGTAGAACTGCTGAAGCACAGAATTATGCAATCTTGATACACGGTCTAGTGCAGTTGTACGGTGCGACTGCACAAGACGCGATATCATGCCGCTGATCCAGCTGTCTGCTACCCTCCTACTTTCATATACTCTCCTACACCTGGACGCTGGTCTACGCAGGCAAACGCTGGTGGACGCTGATGGACGCTGGAGCTCGCTAGATCTATATCTATACTTTCCTAGTTACTGGTGTTTCTGTCAAATGCTGCCACTGATACTTCTGGCTGCACGGCTGCCGCAAAGTATGAATGCAGCGCCGTTAATAATAATTGCTGGAGGGAGGACGGTAGTAGCGCCGGGCCTCACACAGGCGCAGAATGGCACTGGCGTCAAGAGTGAATGTCGTATTCCTGATCAAAACATCGAATAACTCTGGTAGGCAAGTTCGTACCGATTCTGAGGGAAAAAGTGGTGGCGCCAATCATCTTGGCACGATTTCTTTGCGCTGGCGCCATTTGGGGCCCGGCTCAAAGAAAAGATGTCACAATGATTAGGGAACGTGCATCACTCATTGACACACTTTTAGCCAGAACTTTAATTGAATTTTTGGGGTAGTGAGGGTTGAATAGTGCCCGAGAACCTTGTGAATTCCGCCCATCCCCATCCTATTGCTGGCACGACCTACCTGTAGGTTTTTGGAAGATTATTGAAGTGTTGAGTGTCTTGCATGTGCCTGACCAGCATTTCCATCGTTTGGAATGTTCGACCACATTGCAGACATTTCAAAATCGAATCCACTTCAGTGTCTCGTCGTTGGGGCGCTAGAAAGTGTTCGTGGATAGTAGGCATTGACGGGTACAAGCAGCGTGAAGGATTACCGTTCAACATCGATTCCCCATGTAACTTTCCGACAAATTGAAACAGAGCTCCTAGACCATTGCTGAATGGATTCGGCGGTACTCGAGGCTGTTGTACTGCTGAAAGTTCGCACAACCTTAGCTGTTCATAACATTGCCACAAGAAGCAAAAGTGTTCTTCCTGGTTTCTAGTTATACTCGTTTTGATAGGTTTCTGCTGTAAATGATTAGAAGAGAGTAATATGGTACATCTATTAGGTTCGCCTTGGAAGTGCTTCTGCTTCTGTTTTACTTCTAGCACGGACTAGCCTACTTGTGTGTGAAGGTGAGGAAACAGTCCTTCCCCTCGAAACGTGACCTGTTTGAGCAGATGGCAGTCATAAAGGCTCCATTTAGTTTTTTTTACAAAGCTTTCATGCAGTTTTGTTCAACAGCCGTGTTCGTCATGGCTCCGCCAACTGCTGAAGAGGCAAGCAACAACGATTGATGAAAAGCTTTGTAAAAAAAACTAAATGGAGCCTTCATGACTCCCATCTGCTCAATCAGGTCACGTTTCGAGGGGAAGGACTGTTTCTTCACCTTCACACACAAGTAGGCTAGTCCGTGCT